GGAGAGAGAGAAGAGAGAGAGGAGAGAGAGAGAGAGAGAGAGAGAGAGAGAGAGAGAGAGGAGAGAGAGAAGAGAGAGAGAGAGAGAGAGAGAGAGAGAGAGAGAGAGAGAGAGAGAGAGAGAGAGAGAGAGAGAGAGAGAGAGAGAGAGAGAGAGAGAGAGAGAGAGAGAGAGAGAGAGAGACTCTTGTTAAAGCCAGAAAGAATGAGAGGTAAGTGAGAGAGTTAGAGATATGAATTAGAATGTATGACTCTCCTATATAGGAGAGTATTATAGAGTTCAAGCGTTAGATCAATAATCTCAATTATGGACTGAGTATCCCAATGTATAATGGATGACTGTCAGGATTCTCACGTAAAAGTGAGGATGGATAGCACGTGTTCGATCAACTTTCGCAGATCATAGACTGATCACATCTGTTACGAAGAGCACAACGACTCTGACGCGTGACTGAATTAAACTGTACCAACCATTGAACCAGTCATCCTAATCCAATATATATATATATATATATATATATATATATATATATATATATATATATATATATATATATATATATATATATATATATATATATTGTTCTGGACTGGGCCGGGCTGGCCCAAAAGCAATGGTGAAGGCTCAATCCAAACGGTCTTGCAAGGGGTCACGCCGACCAAGAAGCCACAGCCGTGCCCGACACTCTTCGCTAGTGCGCCATCCTCGACTTCATGCTATCTTGCTCGACCTCAACTCGAGCACTCCTCCTAGGGCAGACTCCGTCCACTGCACCATCACCTGGATCCTGAAAAGACCGCGTCCTCGTCCATCCGTACTTCACGCAGAACATCCAGGAAGGAGACCACGTGCGGGTCCCCACTACACACGTAGAACCTGGCAGTTCCTCCATTGGGCCAAACCTGCCCGGCCCAATGAAGGGACCTTGGCCCAGCGCTGGGGCTATAAATACCCTTTGTTCCCAGAGGGTCAGGTATTCATTCTTTTACCCATACTCATACTTTTGCCTGCTCGTACTCTCACTTACTTCAGCATCGGAGTGCCTTGCAGGTACCCCCCCCCCCCCATCTCGTTCAAACTTCAGCTCGGAGCCAGTCGTGACGGTCCAAGTCTGATCAGGTAAGATCAGTGGCGCGGTCTGTGGGAAACTAGCTTCCCCGTCTTGCAAAATTCAAAGACCAAAGCTCAACTCAACTACCACTGTCATGACTGACCAAGCTCGCGATGAACAAAACGTTTGTGTCGTCGACACCAACAACGGCCCCCGCGGACAAAAACGGGCACCTTGGCAACGCCAGCAACTCCGGTCACAACACCATCCCTGCGTCAACTGCCCCCGGACCTTCAACCTACCGCGACGGAGCAACTGCGTCGTCCTCCTCGGTCCCTCTGCCACTCGAAGAGGATGATGCAGCTCTCGCGAACTACCGGGCTGCCCAGTTTCAGGAAGTCCCCGTCCCCGCCAGGGCGGACGCCATAACTCGAGCGTTGTTCGCAGCGATCAATCAAACAAATTACCTCATCTTCGCCCAAGGGGAAAGACTGAGGGCACTTGAAGACGACCGAAGACCCCCGAGGAGGCATCGGAGGCCCCAGACTCCACCTCCTCGAGTGACTGAAGTCCAACTCCCGTCTCCCCCGCGGAGACATTACAGAGATACCTCTCGAAGCCCGTCACCCCACCCATCGGGGAAACGACCCCCTTTGGAGAGACAGCCCATCATCCAAGCCGGAGGACGTGGTCGCGACCCGGCGAGACAGGAAAGAAGACACTCTGAAGACGGCGTGTAAGAATCAACCAACGAGCACCACGCTTGAGAGAGGCCCAGCACGACCAGGACCGTCGTGCCCGACAATATTACAGGTCCCCATCTCTATCTCCGGAGAGAAGCGACGAGGACGACCCCCGCGGTCCCCTGTCGCAAGCTATCATGGAAGCGCCCATCCCCCCGGGCATGGAGAAACCCCCGCACTTGAAGGAGTACGATGGAGTCGCAGACCCGGTCGACCACATAGACGGGTTCGAGGCTATGCTGCATTACCATAATGTCGTGGGGCCCATCAAATACCGACTATTCCCCACGACTCTCAGGAAGGCGGCAATGGACTGGTACAAAGGACTCGCCCCGGGCTCAATCACCTCGTGGCGAAACCTGAAAAACCAGTTCATCAGTTCATTCACGGCTTCTCGGCGGCATCCAAAGACCGAGGCAGCTCTCGAGGCCATCATCCAGAGACAGGATGAAACCTTGAGGGAGTTCATCAATCGCTTCAACCGAGAAGCTATACAGGTCCCCTGCGCGGACCATATGAAGAGATATCTACTGGAAAGGGGGCTCCTCCCTGGCACGGAATTCAGAAAAGCCGTGGGCATCGAGCCACCCAGGATGTTCGACGCCCTCCTCGAAAAAGCCCGAGCATACATGGACTACGAGGAGAGGGAAGCGGCCAACAGAGCCCAAGATCCCAGGACTCGCGGGTCCAACAGCAACTCGCGCCAAGAAGCTCCTCCTCGACGAACCGGGGAGAAAATAAAAGAAGACAGACCCCGGGAAGTTCGAGAACAAAGGAGACCCTCGGGGCGTTTTACCGAGTACACTCCGCTCACAGCTTCCCGCGAGCGTATTCTGGCGGAGTGTGCCAGCAATGACTTCAAGGACGGCGGTGTCAAACGTCCCCGACCTGCTCCCGCCAAGCCCGGAGTAGACAAGAACAAATATTGTCAGTACCATAGGAGCCATGGTCATCTGACTGAGGATTGCGTCCACCTCAAGGACGCCATCGAAACCCTCATCAAGGGAGGGAGGCTCGCACGATACCGGCGAAGCGACGCTCCCCGTCGTGACGCCCAGGAGACAAGGGAGCCGGAGGAAGATGCCCGACCATCTGACGAGTCGGTTCCCATCCAGACCGCCTTCTCCGTGACCAGGCCCGAGGACTTCGACATCCCCGAACACCTGCAGGAGCCGCTCACAACGCACAGTAGGTGGGAATATTTCCCCTCCGCCATGGTCATCAACGGCGGGGGATTCAACGACTTAACCATTAATTCGGCTAAGAGGAAGCTGGACGAGCTGGTCGATGCGGCGCCCCCGCAGACAGTGACGTTTGAAAGGGTGAAGGGAAGGTCAGAACCCATCACCTTCTACCTAGAAGAACTCCCCGGCGGAGCCCCAAACGCGGTCATCCCCTTACTGATAAGGGCAAGAATGGCCAACTTTGATGTGCATCGCATCCTCGTCGACGAAGGAAGTTCCGTCGACGTAATGTACAGCCAACTGTTCTGAACTCTACAGCTGGACGACTCACATCTCTTGCCATATGTAGGGTCGGACTTACAAGGTTTCAACGGCTCGACCTCCAAGCCTTGGGGGTATGGCGAGCTCCTGGTTACATTCGGCGAAGGAACGGCGACAAGACAGGTCAAAGTACGCTTCCTCGTCATCGATTGCCCGTCTCTGTACAACTGCATCCTGGGGAGACCAACACTGGCAGAACTGACAGTAGTGCCCTCGACTGTCCACCTGAAGATGAAATTCTACACCAAAAGGGCACGGGTAGCCACTATTCAAGGAGACCTAGTCGCTGCTCGGAGGTGTTTCAACGCTGCATCTAAGGGTCGCGACACTGTCGACGTAGG